ATAAAATAACTTTGGCCAAGACTGAGATGGTTGGTGTCTTGCAGCCAATGAACTTATACTCCCAAGACACTTAACACAGCCCAATGCAATCACAGTATTCGGAATATTTTATATTCCCATTCTTAAATAAGAAATGAAAATTTTAACATGGCAACTTGTAATGTATAGGATACTCCGGAAGTGATTTACAAGCCTTGTGTGAAGAAGCTGCAATGATGCCAATTAGAGAACTTGGTGCCAACATTCTGACCGTCAAGGCAAATCAGGTAATCCAGCTAGAAAATTTTGGACTTGGTGATCTTTTCTCCGTATTTTGGAACAGTAAATGAGAAATTTTATTGATGCTAACTGAAATTTTAATCATACCAGCTAAGACCTCTAAGATATGAAGACTTTCAGAAGGCAATGGCTGTAATTAGACCCAGCTTAAATAAAAGCAAGTGGGAAGAACTTGAACAGTGGAATCGGGAGTTTGGCTCTAATTGAATTCCAAATCATCACATGTACTGAAAGCAATTTTTATTTGATTTACTACCCGAAGTAAAAACAACACGACACATTAAAAATGAAAGATCCTAGTATGTATTCTTGGAAGTTTCTGAAATGTAAATTCTTTTCATTCTTTCTGATGTATTATCTCATTGTGTAACTTTACCAAGACAATAGGAATTTCATTGTTGTTATTATTGAGGATATCATATGGTTGAGTTTTGATGAGTTTGTACCATAAGATGCTTGAGACAGTGGTTAAGATAACTGAGATGACATGAGATAAATACCGTCTTGAAAACATTATTTCGTATATAAAGGAGAATAGAAATAATTCTAGTGAAAGCATAAACTTGGGACGTAGTGAAACGGTGCGTTTTAGAAATTCAAATTTTGAAAGCTCGAAGTTTAAAAAATAATGACACGTGCATCACCGTCTTTACAAAGACAACTAACGGTCGAAACTCGAAACGAAACACATATAACGTGAAAAGACTACACTACCCCAGTCAGTATCAAACACATTGGATTGGAAGCTTTTTCCTCTTCCTCGTGCTATGCTAATCTCTCCGGTAAAGCTTTTGCCCTCGTTTGAGTATGGCCGCTCGGCCCGCTCCCAATTTAGTCTCTTCCTCTATCTGCTTGTTACGCAATTTCTTGAGGTTGCTGATTGAGATAAACTAGAGAATATAGGCGAGTGGCTTATATTTCTTTGCAAGGGTAATATGGTCTTTCGGCTCAAGATTGGTTCATTTTAAAGTTTGAATTTGCAGGGGTTAGCTTTTATCCTCGGGGGATTTCCAGCGAAGGCCTCGGATTCAGAAGCTGTGGGGTGTCATGTGGACAGTGATAATTAAAAGCTCGTGACTTTTTATTAGTGGATATTAATATTTTTATTTTAAGGTAAAATATATATTTTTATAATAAATTTTATGATTTTCTTTTTATTATAAAGGGAGATATATGAATATATTTCAACTTTAAAAAAAAAAAGTTCTTTCAATTGTTTATAAAAAAATATGTTCATGAAAAATATGCTTAAATGAAATCATCACTGAATAGTCCAACGATCAATTAAGATTTTTAGACGTATTACTTAAGAGGTTTTTAATTAATTTTATTAATTGAGATTTTTAGGTAATTCGAGTGTCTAGGATTATGCATGTCACTACTAATCTAACGGTGGTGTCAAGGTCTTGTAATCATTTCTTCATATAGTTATACCTATTTTAAAACTATATGGGGGAAAACTAATTTTAAGAGTAGATTTGTTATGCATGAGAGTGGCTTCGTATACCTATTCAAAAAAGTACTAAGCTCAACTAAATGACATTCTTTGACGTTGATCCAATGTAGTCCGACAATTTAGAAGTCAGTTAGTTAACAATAAAAATATCTTTATCTTCTTTACAAAATTCTTTGAATTGCATTAAATCAATGGCTAAGTTTCCACTACAATAGTTTAACCTCATATACATTCACATAATATTTTTATTTAGTATATCATTAACACTAAGGCTATATGTTTGGATGAGGATGAGAATGTATAGTGACAGACCCACTTAGTCATGAGTGGGGGCTAGTGATCCCACTAAAAAACAATTCATTAATTTGGTTTGATTTTTTACTTTTGGAGATTCTATATTTGTATTTGTGTTTTTAGATTTGGTCAAATTCATTTACTTTTCTTATGAAGCAGGCGGCCTCTAGAGTACAGGCAACGTTTTTCAATGTTCTGCTCTCTCACTAACTTCGAAATGGGTTTGTCTCTGTCCATATTGTTTCGTTTCTATTTATGTGAAATAGTGCTTTTAGGTTGCCTAATCAGTTCAGCTATAAAGTAGGTGGGAGAGGCTGAGAAGCTCGTCCGGACCACTTCAGGTGTGCCATTACCAGAAGCCATCTGTAATTTCTCGATGAGGTATGCTGATTTTCTGGAAAACCCATTCTGAAACATCTTGCTGTCCTGTTTCAAGTTGGTTGTGCTTTGGTGTTATCATTTGTTTATTATTGTTGTTTGTCATCATTATTAACTTTTGATTGGGTATTGATATCAACAGTCACTGGTAGTACCACATAACAACTGACAAGTCACATACTTAAGCTCGTTTTAGCGATCTCTGAGATTAAACAAATATTTAGCTGCTAGAATATCTATGGTTCGCTTGGTGATGCTCATCTTGTTTTGAAATACATATTGTAAGTTCAAGCATTTCAGTGCAAATATTGATACACACAACTGATAAAATGAGCAATACCTCCACCATCACCATCACCCGCATCTCTCATCACATGACTCTTCTGTGTATGCAACAATTTGAGGATTTGTTGTCAAGTTTGGTTGTCAATCTGAGTTCAGTTAAATTTTACTGTAATGATATCTATTCATCGCTGGTTTATTAGATGGTGCTTGACTGTGCATTTTTCCTTTGTCACTTTAAATAGATAGATAGCATAATGTCAACAAGGTTAGCAATGAGAATGATGCGAGCAGAAGGTTGAAGTCTGAGTTTCTGATACAGTTTGATGGAGGTACATCTAATTCTAATGATTTAGTGTGTCATGGGTAGCTTCAATTCTATTATGATTAAGCTTATCTTGATTTTCTTGGCTACTGGGATTTGTTGAATTTATCCCCCATATTGTGGCTTTTTCTGATATCTTGTCAGCTCCTCGTTTAGGTTCTTATACCTGATTTGCACCATTAGTCTTGGGTTCATTAGCGAAACTGCCTTAATCAATAAAATAAATGTCAACAGGAATGTCAAAGAAAAACGTTTGCACTTGATACTTACATTTTTGGCCTATGGAGATTGTTTTTTTCTTCTATCCTAAATTAAAGAATATATTGTATATTGACCATTGAAATCTCAACAGGAATGTCAAAGAAAAACGTTTGCATTGATACTTACATTTTTGGCCTATGGAGATGTTTATTCCTTTTCTGATCCTAAATTAAAGAATATATTGTATTATCGACCACTTGAAACCTTGGTGGTCTCGTGACTCGTCAAGAGTGTAAATCTTGACAACCTTGTTCCTCTAACTGTTTATTAGCTTTGATATAGTGATTGCATTCTTTTTAAATTCTTTCAAGTTTATGAGTTTATTTTTTTTTTTTTTTTTGGGGGGGGGGGGGGGGGGGGGGGGGGGGGGGTGTTGTGTGGGTGGGTGGGGTTGGTTGGTTATACAGTCCTTCTAATTTTGTAATTTCTTGATTTTTGTATAATGAGTGCTACTAATAAGCCACAAGAATTGGATGATGCAGTTCTTAGGAGAGGTTAGTATGTGCTGAATGAATTTTGAAACTTGATTGCTCTGGGAAGTAGATAAGAATCATACTAGGTTATGCTTCCAAGGATAATTTCTAGGCCATTAGTTATGGTATTATGCCTCTCTCTTTTTTCTTATTCTTTTCAATATTTTGAGCAAAAATCGTGATGATATTATTAAGTAACAAAACCTTATACTATACTTAAGGTTCAAGTAATAGTATTAAGCTCTAACAATATCCATAGGGGTAGACAGTTTTTTTTTTTTTTTTTTTTTGGTTTTTGGTCTTTGGCTAGAGTGTAACATTGTCGTTTGTTGTGGCCTTAATTTGGAGGCAGTTTTGATTCATGTTCTACTGTTTAATATTTTTTCTGCCACTCCTTATTGATGCTATTGATGTCTAGACTAGTGATTTTTAGGAGCCGTTTGTCCAAACATTCTGATTATTGCCTGTGTGTTGAGAATTGTTTACTGTTGTAAGCTTATGTATTCATACCAAACACCTTTCCGTAAATTCCAGCTACAGTGGCAAGGGAGAAAAGATAATGGATAACTAGAGAAGTAAAATGGTCTGTTTGAAAAATGTAAGGTGGATAGCAAGTCAACCTTGTCAGTATGCTGTACCCTAACCCCTTCCCCCTCCCAGTTGCCTGGTCTCTATGGCTTAGAAAATGTTGATCATGACAATATAGTGTGGCTGTGTGTGTGCATGTGTAGAGTCAGTACTCTTTGTTTAAGTGGCATATTATTTGACATCAATGACTCATTTAATGTGAAAACCTGAACCAGGTGAAGAGAATATACATACCTCTACCAGATGAAAAGTTAGGAGACTTCTTAAACACAAACTGAAGGGCCAAGATTTCCTTACTGGAAATTATCAAGAAGGTTTTTTGGTGATCAATGATTTCTGCAATCTTGGTACAGAGGGAGTAGAACAAATAGCAATATATCCTTAACAAAAACGACAATAATTACTGTAAATATTGTCATAAAACGGCATGTCTGTTTTGTACACATTTGCCGTTTTATGACAAGTCTACAAACGAAATAACGTCTGGAAATTAGAAAATAGAGGCAACATCGCGTACTTTTTACGAAATTTATTATTGATCTAAATTCTAATACGACATCGCTTAATGATCCTAGAAACAAACTCAAGGAGAGGACATCATTAACATAGCGTGTGACACAAGCTATAAATACCTCTCGCGCCAAGCCTGGGACCTTTTTTCTGCTTAGAATTTACGATCTGGTCCTTCTCCAATTACAAATTGTAATTCCGGCCCGTATTGGATTGACATCTTCAATTCTCTCCCAATCTTCACTGACTTCTGTGATTCAGTTTCCAGTTATCATTTATATTCTTCTAAACTGATTGATTTCCCGTACTGTAAATCTTTGCGATGACTTTAATTTCCTCAGAAATTTGTTACATTATCTGTGAAATGGTTCGTAAAATCTCAATCGTTTTCTTGAAGTTTAATTTTCTTTTTCTTTTTTTCCCTTTTAATTTAAACTGAACAATTTGTTTTTGGTTAATTTTATCAGACATGAGTTTCCTCAAAGGCATCATTGACTCTCTAGGCTCAATTTTCTCTCCCGATAATTCGCCCTATGAGTCTGGACAAAACCCTAGCTCTTCCACAATGGACGATGGAGCAGGAACTTTAGTCACAAACGAAAGAACAGCATATAAGCTTAAAGGATATTTCGAATTAGCTAAAGCAGAGATTGATAAAGCGGTCAGGGCTGAAGAATGGGGTTTGGTTGACGATGCTGTTATTCATTACAACAACGCCCAACGAATTTTAAATGAAGCCATTTCGACTCCTGTGCCTTCTTATATCAGCTCTAGGTATTAAAATCTCGGACCGAGTGTCGTTTATTCATTCTCTCAAATAGTGTTGATAATTGGACACTGTTTTGGCAGTGAACTAGAGAAGGTGAAATCTTATCGGCAAAAGATATCAAAATGGCAGGGTCAAGTGTCCGAGAGATTACAAACTTTGGGTCGGCGGACAGGTTTGTATTGGTACTGTTATATTTTCATTGACCATTTTCCTTTTTTATCTTTTTGAAACATCAGTTGTACTCATTTTTCCCGTTCTTGTTTTCTGTTTTATGTACTTCTCATTTCAGGTGGCACATCAATGAACAAGGTATGGGTTTCTTTTCTTAATTTTAATCTTAGACACATTTCACATGAAGCTTTAATTGGGGATGCTTTTTTTATTCTAACATTTGGAATCATCTTTATGTAAAGTTGGATTTTGCAAAATGCTGTAGAATTTTCATATTTTTTCTCAGAATTAAGGAACATTGTCACATATTACTCTATTCCAATCTGTGTTAAAAGTTTTTAGCTTTTACTTGTATCAATCATCGTCTCATATTAAGGCTTCTGAATGGCAATTTTATTGTTATTTAGTTCTTTAGTGTTGAATCAAGGAACCTTGGATCTTCAGTATCAGATTCTCTGTGTTGGCTTCTGAAAGTCATTTATCAATCTTTACTTCTATACAAGCAATGAAGTTATAAAAAGTATTGTCTGGTAGAAACAACCCAAACTATTTTAGGGAACCCAGGGTGATTAAGACCTGTAGCCATATATGGAGATCATATCAATGGTGTTACAAACTTTTTCGTTCTTTTGTGATCCTTACTGATATTGGTAATGGTTTTGAGAATTGTCCGTGTTCTTTTTTCTTGAAGAAAGTTTGCACAAAGCTTGGACCTGTGGGTTACTGATTAATTATGCTATATTTTACTGGCATGTTTTTCATTTTTACAAAATATTTGCAGAGCACCTTACCTCGTGCACAAACTGCTGCAGTTTCATCAACATCAAATAACAGAAAAAAGGTGTCACAAAATCCTCAGCATTTGAATAAAAACAATCCATTAGCGAGGAATCAGACTGATAAAGTTGTAAGCTCTAAACCTGTGCAAGAATCTGGTGGTGGATATGAATCAAAATTGGTTGAAATGATAAATACAGCAATAGTGGATAGAAGTCCTTCTGTGAAGTGGGAAGATGTTGGTGAGAAATTTTAACTGGCTTTTTCCTTCTTTTTTATTAAAAAAAAAAATGTCACATTATAATTGCATAAGCACTGGATCTTTTTGCAGCTGGCCTTGAGAAAGCTAAGCAAGCTTTAATGGAAATGGTCATTTTGCCAACCAAAAGAAGAGATTTGTTCACTGGCCTTCGGAAGCCGGCAAGAGGTACCTATTGATTAATCCAGAAAATGATGTGTTAGCACTTAAAGACTTGTGCAATGGACAGAACGTCTGAATTCTGGTTTTTAGGTTTGCTTCTCTTTGGTCCACCTGGTAATGGGAAGACCATGCTTGCCAAAGCAGTGGCATCAGAGTCACAGGCAACGTTTTTCAATGTTTCTGCATCTTCACTAACTTCGAAATGGGTTTGTCTCTGTCCATATTGTTTCGTTTCTATTTATTGTGCAAATAGTGCTTTCTAGGTTGCCCTAATCAGTTCAGCTATAAATTAGGTGGGAGAGGCTGAGAAGCTCGTCCGGACACTCTTCATGGTTGCCATATCCAGACAGCCATCTGTAATTTTCATCGATGAAGTATGCTGATTTTTCTGGAAAACCCATTCTGAAACATCTTGCTGCTCCTGTTTCACAAGTTGGTTGTGCTTTGCATGTTATCATTTGTTACTATTATTGTTGTTATTGTCATCAACTTTTGTATTTGGGTATTGATATCAACTGTCACTGGTAGTACCACCATAACTTAACTTGACAAGTCACATTACTTAAGCTCGTTTTTAGCGATCTGTAAGGATTAAACAAATAATTTAGCTGCTAGAATATTCTATGTTTCGCTTGGTGATGCTCATCTTGTTTTGAAATAACATATTGTAAAGTTCAAGCATTTCAGTGCAAATATTGATTAACACAACTGATAAAATGAGCAATACCTCCACCATCACCATCACCCGCATCATCTCATCTACATGAACCTTCTTCTTTGTGTATGCAACAATTTGAGGATTTGTTGTCAAGTTTGGTTGTCAATCTGAGTTCAGTTAAATTTTACTGTAATGATATCTATTCATCCCTGGTTTCTATTAGATGGTGCTTGACTGTGCATTTTTCCTTTGTCACTTTAAATAGATAGATAGCATAATGTCAACAAGGTTAGCTAATGAGAATGATGCGAGCAGAAGGTTGAAGTCTGAGTTTCTGATACAGTTTGATGGAGTTACATCTAATTCTAATGATTTAGTGATTGTCATGGGTAAGCTTCATATCTTTATTGATTAAGCTTCATCTTGATTTTCTTGGCTACTGGGATTTGTTG